ATAGAATAACAACTTAATTTTTAATTTACAAGTTTGACTACCTTTACCTCCTTTTCTTTGAAGATAGTTGGTGTAGTGGTTCAGAACGGACTACTATGCCGAGAGATCCCGGGTTCGATTCCCGGCCGGGCAGAAATCGAAATGATGAATTTTAATTTCTGTGACGGGTCTGGATGTTACTATGTATAATATGTAAGTATGTATTTAAAAAAAAAGTATAATTATGTATATCCGTTAAGCTAGCACCCATAACACTTGTGTTATGGGTGCTAATGCTTGCATTAAGTTGCTTACTTTGGGGCTAGCTGGCGCTGTGTGAAATTGTCCAAATTGTTCAAAGATTGTTCAAAAAGGACTTTTGCCATGGAAACATTTTACAAAATACAAAATAGAGACCTAAAGCAGGAACCGTAAGAATGACGTAGAAGAAATCAATATAGAAAACTTCACCGTTTTTATTGATCTAATTTTTAAGGCTTTAAAAAAAATTAAACTTTATAAAAAAGATTGGTAGCGCTAGTTCCTAAAGTCAACCTCAGAGAGATGCTACAATTACAAGACTACGACGCGGCTACAACCTACACCACTTGCTACAGTTTTCGTAGCAATGCGCTACGACTACGAAACAAATAGCTTCGTAGAGGACGTATTTATTTAATCGGCGTTGTCCCTTGTTCGTATAGCGTCTACATTTTCTATGTACGAGTACATTCAAGTGAAGTGTAGTAATTCCATTTCATTAGCAATTTTAAATATTCATTAGACTGTTCGTGTGTTCGTAGTATATGTTTACGACCACGGAATATCCTTCCTTGTGTCACCAGTTCCTTCGTGATATCAAAATTGAAATTGGGAAAACTGATGTTATAAAATTTTATGGTGCTAAACTTAAGTGCCAGTCGTAAATGTTTATTTGCATGAAAATGACAAGCGTGAAGATTTGGCTATCAAGTTCAAAGATTTCAATCTATTAAAATTTTATATGTGCTGTTAGAATAATGATATTGATGATGAATATCGACTTTATTTGGTCATCGAATTGGCAAAGAAATTCTCTTAAGGCTATAGTATTTATTTTAAGGGGAAAGTCGGATAAATTCACACCGGACGGAGTTGTGTTGACGCGTGTATATCAACACGTGTATTATTTACCTTATTTCGTATCATCACAGAGTATGTTAATATCAATAACACGGACTGATATGGAAATATGCCACAACGCGTGTCGACACAACAAAGCGCACCCTCATATGAACGTGCTGTTAAAGGAACAAATGATATAAGCAATAAAAGTTGTATAAAACACCGTAATAAAGACAAAAGAAAAGCAAATGTTGAAACAAATCTTTTTGTGCTTCAGGTTGGAGCACCATAAAACTCCCGAGCGGATCGCAAGCAATAAAATAAATTATGTCAGATCTATCCCGAATGTCATCTTTAGCACTTACCTTTGTAAATGAGATTTTACATTTGAAACTCAAATATTCAACGGAAACGTAACGAAAGAAATATTGTCTCTTTACCTATTAGCATAATAATTTTAATTTCAAATCTTTACTTTATAAAAACAAAGTCACTCCCGCTGTCTGTACGCATAGGTCTTTTAAGCTACGAAACGGATTTTGTGCAGTTTTCTTCTTTCAATAATAGCACCTGCGAAAAGCCAGTTATGTCGCTAGTTAATAAATAAAAAATAAATTCCAAATACCTACATAGGTCCTAATTCAGTTTGTACAATTATACTACTTACGAAACAAATTTTGCATTTTTTTTTATCTTTATTGCAAAGGGATTAAGTACTTACATTTTTAAACCTGCTCTATTTTTCTCGCTTCTTTGACCGTGTGTTACATCCATGCAAAGTGAATTCACCGAGCGTGTTCCAACATAAACTAAGCCGTTTTTAACTTTGACCCTTTAGTTCGGCTAACTATCCGTGGGTAGTTGTTGACCCGTATGTCCTACATATTAAAAAGGTTCAACTTTTATGCATAATTCATGTGCATGTGTTCACAATTTCGATGATTTTATACTTTAAAAATACTTGTGGTACAGAGAGTAAATAATAATTTTGTTTATGTATTTTTTGAAATTTTGCGTAATAATTTTTAACTACTATTTAATAAAAGTTCAGACAGACTTAAAAAAGGGTCGAGTAATACAACTATTTTTTTCTTGATATTCTTTCGAAAGAAACCATTTCGTATTATTATTTGTATCAGTATAATCACAAAACAGCCTGAAGCGAAAACCGCGAGCTTAAAGCTTCAAGTAAAGCCCAAAATAGAAGCTCATTCGAAGGAGTCGGTGGTCGATACTCAAGTCACTTTAAGACTTAAAGGTTTGTTGGAAGCATAACCTTGGCCTTGACTCAAACGACAGCTAACATGAAATTCTGCCAAGTTCTACGAGTAGGTATAACAATTTTTGGGAAATATTGTGGGGTAAAATCTGAAGGGTATTTTAAGTAATTATTGATATTAAACTCTACTCTAGGACTTTTTAAAAATTTCTTTTCCTAATATTTTGGGTCAGCTCTCCTTGTTCTGGGGCGTCAGGACTTAAATTTTCAAATTTCCTATTATTCAGGTATTGAAAGGGATGCTTTGAAAAGTAATAAAACTGGTTCAGACATATCGGCAGTATCATCCCCTCAAAAAGGTCTGAAGTGCTCACTCGTGGAGCCCTCGTGGAGCCCAAACCTACCAAGGACGAGGAAGTTAAAATCGCTTAAGAGCGTTTACGCCGTTTGGCGCAAAAACAGTACTTTTTCAACTCGTTACAATCATTAACCAGTAATACTACAAATATGTTATAGGCATAAATAGTTAGGCAATTTCGTCGTCTAAATAGTTAATTGAGAAAATATTGCAATTAGTTTAGTATTCAAGAATTCTATCAAGATAAGTCCACACAGGTTTTGTAAATTTCCACTTTAGCGTCAGTTTACAAGCTGAAATTTATATAAAAATACTGTGAAAACGATTTAACAAACATTTATATCCTATAGCATAGATCCTTGGGCAAATAGTTATCTGAGAAAATTTGAAGATTTAAGCATTTTACAATAAGAAATCACAAATTAAAAAAACGTGAAATACCCAAAAATCAAAGTGATTTTTTCACCAATATTCTTCCTTTATTCAACACAAAAATAGCTTAATATAATAGAAGAATATCTTATCTAAAATATTTACTTTGAAATTTAAAATAATTCATTGTAATTTTTTTTCTATGAGTATTTGAAAAGTACTATAAAACGCCGCGNAAATTAGCGGACTCTCCCTTACATAGAAAACACCCAGTCCAATACAAACAAATATGTTCATGCACACAAATGTTTGTACTGTACGGGAATCGAACCCGCTACCTCCGGAATAGTAGTCCGTTTCGAACCACTACACCAAACGGCCGAAAAATGAATCATAACAATCTTAAATATCATAACCAATACTTGTCACACCGATTGTTTGTCTAGTTCCATGACACACGGTCCATCGTCTATCATAAAAGCAGCGATTTCTGTGACCTAGATCTAGAAGCGCGGGCGGGCTCTGCAGATATGCCTCGACGCAGCCTCAGGGTCGCGTCCGAAACTACGTCAAAGCGAGAGTGATGCTTTCAATTTGTAGTTTTTTTTAATCGCCCATCCCCTGAGTTTTGTTTTTGGCCAGTGCGTACTTGTTAATCCTCGTTTTTTCGCTCGCAGGCAAATACTGTTTTATTTTGAAACGTTTTGGTTTTATTTCATTATAGAAACGTTCACATGATCTCCGAAACAAATTAAGGATTCTCCAGACTGGCAAAATCTGTCAAACTTCATAAAAAACATCGGTTATCGTTAAAGTTACGGTCAAAGTTAGGTGGTGCAACTCAGCCTTTGTTTTTTATGTGCCATTTAACAATAAAAAATAATAACATGCACTCATATTAATTACTCACTTAATGTTAAATAAACATTTTCAAATACCGGTTGGAAACGACCCATTTATCAGCATTACAATTCATAATTACAAATTCAAATTGTGCACTTTCTAAAATGAATTTGCTGTCAAATTAATCCGAAGCTGTTTAATATTTAACAAGCCTGAAACAGTGTGTTTTGAATTTCCCGTTTTGACCTACTTTATTCTGTTTTCACTTTGCAACCTTTTTCGCAACTTCCAAACTCATAACGCTATATTAGGCATACTAATAGCATATTCTAGACCCATGTTACGTCAGCAGTTATGCCGCCGCATCGTTATATGAACGTCAGAACCAAAACATCGCCTAAACAGGGTATTATGCGAAATTGTTGACCATTTACACGTACATTGTAAAATTTGATGTGGCAAATTGAATACAAAAATAACCACAATATGGCCAATATTTCGATACTTTTATTCAATAACGGTTAATTTTTTTTAGTTAAACTTGACTACTTTGATATTACTTAAACGTACGTATTTTATTAATAAAATTAGTCTACCATGATAATATCACTGCGTATTTTGTTAATAAAACGGTTTTAATAGTTAAGAAACATGTTTCCACTTCGTAAGAAACTAAATTGAAAGCGGGAATCCAGGGCAATAGCTACCTATTCAACTTGGAAAGCCTCATTTTCCACGCTGCATTATGCGATTAATAATAGAACGCCGCATAGGTGAATTACGAATTCAGCAGTCCTTCAACGACTTTAAGCGATTTATTAGTAGCAATAAATAATAAACACCACAGATATTCCTATCCGACTGTACGTGCGAAAATAAAGCGTTATCGAACAATACCGTGACCCAAATATAAGAAACGCGAAAACGTGACTACGCAAAACAATGAACACGTAAAACGGACTCTAATGCTGTAAGATAAGCCCTTACACGTTTACGTCGGTACAAAGCCGTTCGTATAGCAAAATCCGATTCGTCATAAAAGTATAATAATAGTGGGCCGGGGCGCCGCAACAACAGGCGGTGACCTACCGCGCGCGCCGCCACGGCAGTCTTCTGTGGCGCTTTCTAATGACCTCAAGCGTTCTCTGTTGCGCTCCGAACATTTCAAAAACCCTTAAAACGGCAAAAACCACAACGAATATCTCATAATTCGCGTAGTGACGACACGAAACACGACAAGGACAAACCACCCGCGTCCGGCCCAGGAAAATGGACCCTAACTCTAAAGGGATAGAGTTTTATAATTAGTTAGATGCGTGTGTCGGCGCAGGAAAAGCTAGGTGAGTGGATAAATATTTCATTATAACAACTTTTGTCAGTAGTTTCGTGCCCGCGGTTTGTACTGCGCTTTGCTGAATAAGGTCGTGTTCGATAAAATTAAATGTGTTTGTGTTACGATAAACCTCTTTTTAACAAGGAAAAGTAGTTTATTTATGTGAGCATTGTTTTTTAGTGTTTTGCATTGAATAATATTATAAGATATCGTTGGAAAAGTTTTCATAAATAATCATTTAATCCAAAGTGTAATAATTTTTGAAGTGAACCTACAATATCTATTTCCGGTTCGTTAAAACAGACAATCGATCCGCGACTTTTGCTTAATTGAATTCGAAGTTATTATGCGCAAATAGCCAGGCATCTGTAAAATCTGAATTAGTAAATAAAGTTACGTCCTATTTTGGACTCTACCGGCATACAAATAAGAACGACGCGTTGTTTTGCGAGCACGATGTTTACGATTGAGTGTAGATCACTTACATAAGCTCTTTGAATAATGAGCAGATGTATTTTAGATGAAATCGAGTTATTTTCTCGAAGTTTCCTTTTATTGTATAAGGATAATACAGGAAAAATCTGTTACTTTGGCAATTTACCATCAAAAAATAAACTTTCCTACCACGGGTTATAGCTTATTAATATTTATCTACGGAAGCGGAAAATTCCATTACGGAAAATTATTATAACTTTTTCAATAACAGTATGTTTTACAGGTAAAAATATTATAATTATGTAGGCAAAGAGGGCTAGGCTTAGCAAAATCAAAGAAGACATAATTTAACTTAGTTGAAACTAGACATTTTTTCGTATAATTTCAGGTTTAATATTTAAATAGACCACAAACATAAAATAATAATGATAACATAATTTTTTATCATCAAAAATTTAAAATAACACAAAATAAATAAATAAATATTGCGTTTTTGCTATTTCAATGTTTGTTTAAAGCAAAACATGCAATATCGGAAGTAAATAACATAACTGAATAATGAAAAAAAAATGCTTTCAAAAATAAAATAGAGCTACATCTGTCTTTCTCTTTCTAATGTACGGTGCCTGTTAGTATTGGAAAGAGACAGAAAGAACGGCTTCCAGATGTTTTCTTTAACATCCAGAGTAAAATACTGCCGTGTTATTATATGATAGGACTAACAAACATCGCTTTGATCTTTTTTGGTTAGCCACACGTTATTATTATAACTGTAACCTTACTGCCTAAAATTTAATAAACTTAATAATTCTATAAAAATAATTAAATTGAAAATTTTTTGGTTTCAGAGACCGACTTAGTGTAATGCTACAATTTTTTCTGTAGTTCAACTTTGGATGATTACCGATGCCAATGAGCAAATTAAAAAAAACCTGCCAAAATGGAGTCCGGAAATATAAACAAAATAATGCTTAAGTTTGGAACTGGCACGTGTTTTATTTTGTTCTATAAAAGTTTAGTTTTTCTTTAAAAGCTTCAAGACTTCACTTATTCATACTACATGTAAAATAAATATGAGTCCTCTTTAAAATATGTCGGGAATCCAAAGTTTGAGTGAATTTGTTGAAGAGAAGTATTTTTAGTAGACATTAAGTTAAGACTTAGATAAAATCACTCTTAGGGTTCACTTCGAGCTTTATAGAAAACGAACGACCGACTTTAATGTATGGCATTTTACTTTACCTACGTATTGGTAATTTTGGATATAAAAGCTACGAATACAGACATTATAAAAGCTTTGAGCTTCGAGTATTGATATCGCTGAAACAATGCGGTTCATAAATTGTCGATCATGTTGACAAGATAAAATATTTTGGGGCCAGTAAATTAACTGTAACCACTTATTTTGTTAAATTATTGCGAAACTTTATTTCATTTCTTGTACTGTTGTCGAAATATTTTTTTATTGTTCATTATTATAAAAGATTATAAAACGGTTTTTAATATTTTGTCATTCTACAAATAAGACGTTAAAAAAGTAAAAAATAATAATTAAAACTAATAATATCTAAAAACGCTACTATTGTATTGAATGATTTACGTATAAGGAGCCCCCTTTGAAATGTTTTTAGAAGAGTAGCATAGTAAATATTTAGTAGGCTGCATTGAAAATACCGTCTCTTTCTACCGAACAGCCGCGTCTAGCGTTAGAAAGAGATAGCGAGCGTCACAGACCGCCCGGATACGAACAGCTGTATGATAATGGCTTTTCCAGGAAATGTCGTTGCGATGCGGCATCCGATCCACAGTTCAACTATCTGTTAGCATTGGCAACGGCGCCCATGCTAAACAGCTTTCAGGTTTAATATAGTTATAGACAATCGTTATCTGACATTGATATTGTTTTATAACCAAATAGCGGCCGCCCGCGACTTCGTACGCGTTAAGACAGGACTTTCATACAAACTTCAAACCCCCGTTTTACCCCCTTAGGGGTTGAATTTTGCAAAATCCCGTCTTAGTGAGCACCTACATTCTAAAAGGAACCCCCATGCAAAATTTGAGATTCCCAGCACTTGTAGTGTAGTTTTTCGTGATGAGTGAGTGAGTCAGTCAGTCAATCAGTAGTAAAGAGGTACAGGCTGACCCGAAAAGATTAACGTAGGCCCGGTTTCTGAATTTAGATTTTTGGTTTGAGCGTGCTCATCTTGAAATCAAGTACATTCATATTAAATTCATTTTTGAGTAGGATATGAGCACGCACAAGATGGAAATCTCTATTCAGAAACCGGACCGTATGTACATATATCTATAAAAGCAAAAGGTCACTGACTGATTGACTGACTGACTCACTCACTCATCACTAAATCTCAGTAACTACAAGTCCTAAGAGTCTCAAATTTTGCATGGGTGCTCACTAAAATGGGATTTTCCAAAATTCAACCCCTAAGGGGGTAAAACGGGATCCACACGTACGAAATCGCGGGCGGCCGCTAGTCTATAAATATAACACGTCTTATAACACGGTTTTAAATCAAACACAACTTGGTATCTTTCCATTACAGCAACATCGACATTTGACAAAGAGTGACAAAGTAGTTATTAGCCAGAATCACTGTTTAATAACAGTTATCGCCCTGTTTGAATTATTTATGAATGAGGGGTGAATGTACGTAGAGTATGTAGGTGTTTAATTTTAGAAGCAATATTTATTCATAGATATTAGTGTTACGGTTTAGGTGCCTACTTCTTAAAAGAAATATTCCATTCACGTATTTCCCGAAATCCGTGTCAATTTTCGGGATAAAAGTCCTACAAATAGCTCTTTTATTATACATACTAAAGCTAATTTTTGTGTACCGGCGAAAATAAAATCTGTACTATCTAATAGTAGCGGCACAACATAATTTTACAGCAGAAGTCGTTGAAAAACATTATTTAATTTTTCGAAAATAGTCTTACCTACATTTTGATTAAAAAATATGTATTCGATGTAGGGTTAACTATATTTTTGCGTTATCAATTTCATATGGAAATTGAAATGAAAAACTGACACGTACCAATAAGCCTACAGTGCCTAGCTTAAAAGCGCTTTTACCCTGAATTTATTACTTCAGTATTCAAAAGGCAAATAAAATGTTTATTTTTGTTTCAGATTCAAGCACCAGTAAAATGTAATATGACGAGTATAATGTAACTATGAAAAAGATTTTCTACTTCAAGGCAGCAAAAAATGATTACGATGGTTTGCAAATTATTTCATTATTACTGGTTCTACCCTCCGTTCTGCGAGCTCAAAATTCCCTGGGGTGCCCTGACTTAACAAGAAGTAATAAATGTTCGTGTTATACGTTTGAAGACGGTAAGATATCATTTTATTAAAACAAATAAGGTCTATATCAAATTATATTAACCCAGAATATATTTCACAGGGCTGTTTCTTGATTGCCAAGACACAATATTGAAAGACGTAAAAAATGCCATTAAGAGTACGTCGAAAATAAATTCATTGTCTGTTTATGATCTCGAGGACAACGAAGAGACTTTGGGACCTCATTTTATACCTCAAGGCGTTTGTATAAAGCATATTCACATGTCAAGAACGGGCATAAAAGACATTGCAGATGACACGTTTATACCGCTCCGAAAGTGCCTTGAAACGTTAAGCATTGTGTCAAGCAAAATCAAACTGGTACCGCAAAAAGCATTTTCCGGCATGCTCAAGCTAATCTCGATCGACCTAACTTCAAACTTTATCGAAGAAATACCAAGCTATAGCTTTTATGGTCTTCCTCTGATCAAACTCAACATTAAAGGCAACGTTATACGAGATATATCAGATTCCGCTTTTTCTAGTTTAGAACTTTCTCTATCAGAAATTGATTTAAGCGAAAACAATCTCACGTCGTTCCCAATAGAAGCCCTCGCTAAATTGAGACACCTCCGTTCTTTGCGATTGGCCTGGAATGAAATGTCTTCTTTCCCGATTGTCGAAAACTCAGACCTTATATCCTTAGAGTATTTAGACTTAAATTCTAATAATTTTGAATTTATTTCAGAAGACTGCCTTAAATTTTGTCCGTCCCTGATGATGTTATCGTTTCATTTCAATTTTATCAACAGTATTCACTATCGGGCGTTTCATTCCTTGGCTCACTTGAAGTCGTTAGACTTGAGCCACAATAGAATTAAAATATTAAACCCCAATCTCTTTCAAAATAATAAAAACTTAGTTTTCATCGATCTGAGTCACAATCACCTACATCATATTCACGGTCTGTTCTGTAACCTGCCATCACTTACAGAAGTAGTTCTAAGTCATAATAATATTTTGGATGTGCCAATTGATTCTTTTCTTAATTCTAATAAAATTAGTGCAATAAATCTAAATAAGAATTGCATCAGCAACATACATAGTGAGAGCTTTAGTAATTTAGGTAACTTAGCTAAGCTGCAATTAGATTCTAATTACTTAAATCAAGTGCCATACAATATTTTTATAAATAATAAGAATATAGTGAAATTAAGGCTAGACAATAATAACTTTTTCGAGCTAAATAATTACACTTTAGGGTCTCTTATAAACGTCAATGAAGTTAGATTAAATAATAACAGGCTTAAATTTATATCCAAGTATCTTTTTAAGAATTGTTTGAAAATCGTAGAAATTCATTTGAATCACAATGAAATTAATTTCATTGAACCGGGAGCATTCGTTAATATGAAAAATTTGCAGTATTTGAGTTTGAATCATAATTATCTCATCGATCTAAACGATGTATTGCCAAAGTTAGGCTCAAATTTACTTACTCTACATCTAGATTCTAATTCAATATCCTTGTTAAGTAACTTTGTTTTCCTATCTCAGGATAAGTTAAGTCATTTAAGTTTGAGGAATAACCGCCTTAAGTTTTTGACAAAGAACACATTCCGAAACATGAGTCACATAACGAGGCTTGAGTTAAATAACAACGAATTATCAATTTTAGACGATTTCTCGTTCCAACACCTAAACGCAACAAGGTATTTGAGTATACAGAATAATTTGTTACGAAATATTACAAATTATACATTTTTCGGTTTGAGTGAGTTAGAAGATTTAGATATTTCTCATAACAAGGTCATGTTTGTATTTGATATGGCTTTTGATACTTTGAAGAAACTACGAAGTCTAAATTTATCATTTAATCCGCTTAAATTACTCCAGAAAAATATATTTCAGCAAGGCTTACCTTTGAGCTCGTTGTACCTCGACAATTGTGAAATAAATTTAATAGAAAATGATACCTTTCAAGGATTGAACAACCTCAAAACTCTCTCACTCAGAAACAACTCGTTAAAGGCTAGTGATATTTTATCAATTAATATTCCCGGGCTAAAGTATTTATATCTTTCTTTTAATGTCCTTGACTATTTACCTCAAGAAGCTTTTTATCAACTCCCATTGCTGGAAGTTTTGTTTATGGAACATTGCAACATAGAACACATTATTGAGGGCACTTTCAGATTCAACAAAAACCTGCTAAGACTGAATGTGGCACAAAATATTATCAGTTCAATACCAAATAAATTATTTGACATGCAAAACTCCATTACAGAATTTAATATAAGCAACAATTTTTTAGATATTGTACCATACAATACCTTTCACAACTTCACCCAAGTGGAAACTTTAGACATCGCGGATAATCTGATACCACGAATTGAAATTAGTGGCTTCGAAAAAATGACTAAATTAAAATATCTTATTTTGAGGAAGAACGAAATTAAATCCATAACAGCTAAAAAGAAAATCGAATTTAGAGATCTCGTGTTATTAGATATTAGCTTCAACAAATTAGACACTCTACCTTTTGTTATTTTGGAAACATTTCCGTATATTCAAAACATAAATATTTCTTACAATGATATTGTTTACTTTGATTTTTTGATCACGTTCCGTATGATGGGTTCTTCGCTCATAAACTTGGATATTAGTAAAAATCCGGCAATTTCGTGGACCTCACTCAGAAGACCAGACAATAATACACTGGTAGGGAACATATATGAATTACACATCAGTGCCACTAATATGACGAATGTCGATGACGTTGCATTTGAATATTTCACGAGCTTGCAGCACTTATATCTTACCTTCAATAAAATAAGGCGACTGTCGATAAGTCCCTTTGCAAAGTTATCATCACTAGAAAATTTGGATCTGAGTTTTAACAAAATTTCTCAACTTAAAGCGAGCAATTTTCGTGGCTTAACTAAATTGAGAACATTATGTTTATCTAACAATAACATTGAGTCAATGGAATCTTTCGCCGAAGATTTGAGCAATTTAAAACTTTTGGACCTCTCCCACAACAAGTTGCAAAACATTCTTAATGAAGATTTAATCAACTTGAAGGAACTTACAGTATTGTATTTGAGTTTCAATAACATTAAGTATATATCAGTAACAGCTTTCAGAAACTTAAATAAAATAATAGAGATAGATTTAGGGCACAATAAACTACAAAATATACCTCTAGAACTACTTACATCCGTAGAAAACCATATTGAGGATATATCCATTAAAGGTATGTACTTTTATTGACGTCGCTGAGTAAGTCAAAATTAAGACATTGTCTACATTTATATAAATTTTCAGGAAACACAATCACCTGCAACTGCCAGAAGGATAACATATGGGTGTGGATACAAGACCATCCTAAAATTATAAAATCGAATGCAATTATATGCCTAAATGAGGAGTATCCAAAAGAGAAGTGTGACATTCCCATCATATCTCAACTTTCTGTGGACAAACATAAAGATAACTCTGTATCAGTATCTTGGTTTATAAGGAATAGAACTGCCATTAAAGCCCTTCAAATTATCTACTACGACGAGGATGCCAATTTTGATGTAAGTATTATTGATTTGTTAATACTAATAATTAAAACCTCCAAAGTATTAATAATGTATATTATAATTGCAGATTAAATCTAAGTTCTTAGAAAAAAGTGAAGTTTCAACTCGCATTATCGATTTAGAGCCTAACACAAACTACGTAGTATGCGTAATTACATTGTACGAGGAACCGGTTATGAATTATGAATACGAACATGAACTCAATGTCACTGGTGCTATAGATGTTGATCTGAACGTTACTGCAAAAATCACCCAAGATATTGCAGCAGCCATACTGAATCAATCGCCTTCAAGTGAATGCATTTCATTTAACACGTTCAAAAAGAAGACAGCCATGAAAATTAAACCAGTTAAAGCATTTGATATATCCTCCATTTTAAACCGTCGTATGGGCTTAATCGTTGGATGTTCGTTGGGTTTTGTAGTGTTTTTCATTATGTTCACAATTCTAGCGTATACGAAAATTAAGGAACGACAAAGAATAGCTAAGTCTGACCCCACTTGGGCTGAAATGAATGACTATCATTCAATGCAAAGCAAAGAAGATATTTTACAAAACTCAACTACGGCTTCCACTGATAATATTTTACTAGGAATGACCAAAAATCGTAAACACTCTATTGACCATTTGAAGTAGCCTTAGACCTAAACTTAGATAGAAAATTAATAATAATATCTTTCTTAGATATCTGTAGTTAAATAATGTTATATTTAGAACAGACTTTTATTGTAAACATATTTCTTGAATTCTTAATTATTTACTATCTTGTTAATAGAAGCTTCACTACGACTGTTCGCTTATGACTAGCTAATACGTACAATAGAGTAGGTAGTAGAGCATAGATGCAATTTATTATAATAGATAACTAATGTTAATTATTACTGTAGATATTAAAATATTCAATTATTAAATAAAGTTGTTACCCTAAATGTTTCCCTATTTATTTATCAAATACGATATGTCCTAGTCTCTTTCAAAAAGAATTCTGAAATGTAATAAAAAGAAATCACTTGAGGCACTTTGGTGTGTTGAAAACTTGTTCGTTTAGAAGATCTCGATAACCAAGAGCCATTCAAAAACAATATCAATTTTCCGGGCACTTACATCTCAAATCAAAACAAAATGAATTTCTACAAGATCGTCTTATAAGTGCTCTAACAAAATAATATGATGCATAATATAAAATGTTTTAGTATAATCTAAAATCTGTGGCAGGTATAATTTTCAAAGTATTTGAACATATTTTTAGAATCATTTATTCTATTTAATAAAAACATTATTACCTCTGCTTTGGGTCTACGATTCTGACCATAATTATTACTGTTTATTTTTTTTATCAAAACCTATCTTTATAACTTTTGTTATTTGGAGAGGGACATTGGGAAAAACATGTGACAGTCTTGCCCTAGAGAAATTATGCAATATCGTCATTGCGTATTGACACTCACGTCTAGGCAGAGATGTCCTGACTCCTGAGGGACTGCACTAGATAGGCTTATTAATTGGAATACTGGCACACTGAGTATTATCTTGTCAATCAATAGTTGGTGGTTATTATTTGATGTATCAAAGGATCTTTTAAGAAGAATGAAGCTTAGGTTGTAACGTTTTCATTTGACTAATTCTTGAATCGGTTCCGTAGAAATTCAAATAATGTTTGAGAAATTATAACGGATTGCTTCAACCTTGACACAATAAAAGTTTTGTAGGTTGTTAAGTTAGGCTTAATCAGAGTAAACTAAATTTATTTATCAGCAGTCTACAAGGATGGTGCACTACGTTGCGTTGACAAGTATGCTATGGTGACATACTTGTTATGAACCTTAAAAACTTTTCACAACTTGTAAAGTCCCAATTCGCAACGCATTGTCAATATTTATTAGTTATTTATATAATTTAATGTAATTGTGTCGACACAAAAAGGAGGTAATAAATTTTCGAGGCACTCCAGAGAAACAATATTGTTATTAGAATTCCTTAATTGTCTGCAATAGTTTGACAAACAAACATTTAATCAAGAAACAAACAAGTTCCATTCCATAAACTTTGGCCCTTTGTCAGTCCAAAACTTAACTGCTAAACTAAAATGTATAGTTTGCGTAAAATCTGTTAGCCGGTTATTGTATTAGGCAAAATTGTTGGGTCAACTAAGCTGAATAAATTGAAAGAGAATTAGTTTTTTCAACGATCCGTAAGAATAATACCCTCGTACTTATTTGTAGATCTACTAGTGTATATTATGTCTCAGCTTGTTTTATCAGAAATAAGGCGGAGAGACTTGAAACAAATAGATAATGATCCACAAAACTAAAATGTATAAATATGTAAAAATCGAAGGTCAGTAAATAAAGCTCGAAAAAATATCTACTAACATAATATAACATTAGTATTTATAACACCAAATAGACTATGCATGAGACACATGGAAGTATCATCACGGAGACATAAATAAAAATAAAGGGAGCCACCAAAATAGAAGTTTGATCTCGCGTGGCGAAAACACAAAGTCCCATATGAAATATTCATACCGGCTTAATTCGACCACTAAAATGAAATCCAGTGAGATTACTTGACATGTCTCTAACGTGGGAGAGATACTAACTCAAACAAGCAGGGATTTAAAGGAATATCCACTAAATTATGGAACTTATTACTCACAGTTGACCAGTCAAACGAATCGTTTGAAGATATTTGTCCAATGAAACTGGAAACCGATATTTTTGTGAGGTCAGCATATTTTAGGTATTCGTAAAAGTGAACGAGTTATTTGCCAAAACTACTCGTTTTCTTGTGTATCAAAGTGAAAGAATATTACCTACTTCATAGCGGTGACATGTTCGTTGAGTCGTTATCGGTTTCAGCATAGTAGGTATAGAATTAATCAAGAGATACAGTGAAGTCTAGACGAGTGAGCCTGGTACTATTACGAACTAAAGAGGACTTCTCAGCTAATTAATGACATAAGGTTTGTTATTGTTTTTGATATTATTTTTGTAAATAAATCTGACGCTACAGTAGAGTCAAATACTATTGCATTCTTAATTGAGTTCCGAATTGGTTTAAAAAACATAAATTAAACTGTCTTTTATTTCTCTATACTTTATAGACATACAGTGCCGCTCTAGTAAATTCTACAAGCTTCGCTACTGCGGTGATAAAAATATTTTCGTCCCAAAAATGTTGCTTCCTTTTCAAATCAATCTAGAATTTTACTGACTCATTAATATCTAAATTATACATGAAAATGTTGCGCATGTTACAAAATACACTTGACCTGTTTTTGACATCTCCTGAGGCAAGGCTCACGTTGGCTGCTCCAGTTAATTTCGAGTACTGCACAGAGGTCAGAGTCGTCTAATTATAATTCCAAGCAGTTTTAACGCTAAATTTATTGAGGTGCAACGTCCTCTTGGGATTTGTCGATTGAAGACGCAAATCGTTTTTGTCAGATACTATACTTAGTACAGGTTTGATGTTTCCTACCAGGATTGGAGTTTTGTAAAATTGTACAACTGGATAAAAGGTAAGTAAATCTTAAAAGCAAAATGTTATAAAAGTTAATGTGAGATAAAAATTAGGTAGGTACCATCTATAGCAAAGATGTGTTTTTAAGTAGATATCCGTCAAAAGACACATTTATTTAAAATCAAAATTTACTCATTTTATTTCATTTTTGGCTTTGTCAAAAACATTTTAAGCATCATTAAAATCTTTTCAAGATGATCGAAAGTATTATAATAAAATTAAACTTGGTCAAAAGCTGCCATAACTCGTCCAGTAAAAAATTTTAAAACCATTTTCGAGGAGTGAAAGACAAAAGACGTATTTTATTGAAACTCATGACAACAATATTTTATGCTATCGACTTCACTGACCGATATTATGGTGTCTGAATATGAAAGCGACATGTCGTGCGTTTCAAAAATATTCCGACTATAAATGAAGTAACAATGAAACCGTATCACGCGACTGGTTACCTAACCAGTTTTGGGTTCCATTCCATTAAGAGCAGTTTTGGGTTCCGTTTTTAAAGTCAAAGTCAAGAATATCTTAATTTGTATTGCAATATTAATTTGGGGCTAGATAGCGCTGTGTGAAATTGTTCAAAGATAGTTACCTGTTTAAAATAATATTAAAAAAGTAGCCCCTTTTCCATAATTTAAATGCCAAATTATTTCAGTTTCAAGTCTCTATTCTTGCCAAATTAATTGCCATAATAAACCAGAAATTAGTGACATTTCAATAGATATTCAATAAAATTACGGAACCCTAATCTAAGCGTGTTGATAACCACTCGAATGCTTTTTTAAACTACCCGCGTGACGGACAGAACAATCGCGTCATTAACCGTTTGTGGGTGCTTGATTTTTTATGCATATGAAAATCGTCATGAGCGAGTATTCAACAAAAATGTCATCGGTAAAATGATGCTGATGCAGATGGAACAATAATTGCTTGTATAAATTTTATAAAGATTGAGTTCAGTCAACGGCTGCTGGGGCAGAAGGTTCTCGAGTGGCGACCACGAGCTCTTTCGCAGTCACTCCGAATCGCAACCGAAAGTATTTCGCAATCAATACTTTGCGTCGCCAACTCGATCTCTTTACAATGCAAATCACTCCAACACGGTAGCATTTACGTATGATATTTCCGATTGTCATGTGTTTCATTTTGTTCGCTCTCTCCCACGGAGACAATCCTTTTTTTTTAGGGTAGTACCTACCTACCTATAAGTGTGTTCATATTAATTTTCTTTTTATTAAACGTCCCCTTTGCACAAACAGTTCGAATCCTGCATTACTGGTCCCGCAAAAATGGATTGTCGAGGGAAAATGCCCTAACTCTGTGTGATAATTGTGGTTGCATGTACGAGTATGTATTAGAACTTTATTCGTCTTTAAACTCCCACATACTCGTACATCTTGGCTCGTGCCTTATACTAACAAAAACAACACGCCCACGTAAGAGAAAGTACAACAAACGATAAGTGCCGAAGTAAAATAAACCGCTCTAAAATGCTGTGAAAACCCACATGTGTGTTTCAGGTTCAATCCACATAAATCGAATAGGTTACGCAATTAATTATTTTTTATTTTTTTTAACAATCGGTTGTTTGCACTGTTTTTATTGATGCGCAAAGATGAAAGCAAAGAAAAGATTTGCCCCTAACCATTCGTACATCAACACGTTTTCTTCTCACATAATTACTGTTTGTGTTTCAATAAAATTGTTATTGTAATGTAGTCTACCCGCCGACATGAGTCGTCAAATCTTGACAGGTTGTGAAAAATCGTGGACATGATTCAGGCTTGGTTTCTAGAGTCCTTAATATTAGCTATTTAACAGTATGATATTTTATTTTCTAATAAGCCTATTAACAGTCTGTTTATAATCTCTAGCTTTATCGTTTCCTAAACAACGCGTAGAAAATCACGCTGAAATTTCCAATTTCGTGTATTACGCACACTTCGTCGCTGAATATTGGCTTAAAACTACGCCAGTCCGCAGCGGTCGCTTCGAACATGGCCGGCAGTTGTTCTATGCAAAACTGGACCTCCGCTGACAATACCTGATATCCATATCGCCAATACAGCTTAAGCCTGGGTAACGGCCAAATAAGCTGAAATACGGAAAATATTTTCAGTAATAAAAAGTTACTGCAGGTTATTTTTGGAATTATATTTTTTCGCAGAATGGAAATATATTTTGATTATGGATAACACATGATATGGTATTCAAAAACGTAGATCCTACTCTTAAGCTGTAAGGTTGGCCAATCCCAGCATTAGTTTAAGGGGAAAAAACAAACTTTTTTTAGATATTGAACAATTCTATTAAGATAAAGAAGGAAAACCACATTGATGTCCCGGTGGAGCGACAC